GTCGGTGTTCAAAGCCCGACTACTTCAGACTTCCGTGTTTACGGAACGCCAGCGACTGCTTGACAGCTCCCTTTTTCCTTCCTTGTACGCGATTCCTTCACCCTGCACTTCCCTCACCACCTGCCTCACAATCCGCGCTTTGCCGACAGAAATGCCAGCTTGTTCGCCTCTTCCCACGCCTTGGTGCTCGCCCCTGCTTTACCTTCCCTTACGCCCTTACCTTTGCCCTCTGTCGCTTCTCTCTTCTCTCAATCTCCTTTTTTCTCTCCTCCCGTACCTTTGCCGCCTCGTCCCTTTTCGCTTTTCCCATTCCCGTTTCCGATCCCATTCTTTCTCTCTTTCTCTCTTTCTCTCTCTCTCCTTTTTCCTTTCCCCGGTTTCCCCCTCGCTTTCGTCATCTCGCTCTAATCACCTCGCGAGCACGAACGATATTTTTTTCGCGCGGGACATATCGCGCGAAATATATTTCGCGAGTTTGAAATACTCGCTCGTTGTTTGCGTGTTAAGAAGTGAGAGAGAGAGAGAGAGAGAGAGAGAGAGAGAGAGAGAGAAAGAGGAAGAGAGAGAGAGAGAGAGAGAAAAGTAACGACCAACGGGGAACGCGGCGCATCGTGATAAGTCTGTTTGCGGGACAGCGACGTAGCTCGTTCCAAGAGGGAAGATTTACGCAATTCGCGAACGTTTGCTCTGCGTTTTAGCCGCGCGAAAGCGTTCCTCTTGCTTGGATAGGATTGTTTCCCTGGGGCGCGTGGAAATTCTTGATTTTTCACCGACAAACGTTCCAAAGTATTCGGCCGTTTTTTGCTTTTTTCGCGGATTTCAGGTATTAGAATCGAGCGCAGCGCTTTCAACATTCGACGACGAGGTTCGTTCGAATAAGTACGTTGCGAGGTTCTACGATTATCTGACTTCTGTATCCAAGTGGGCGTCGACTAAAGTAGGAAGTTTCGAATTACTTTAATATTTTAATAATCTCCGCCTCTCTCTCTCTGTTATGGTTCTCGACACACATATTCTTTCTTCTCGTCGAATAAAGCTAAAAGAATATTGCTATTCCGATTCCGCACTCGGGAATAGAAACGTCGATTTTAACGACCGATCGTCTTTCGATTTGGATCGCTTTCGGATAGAATTACCGTGACCAAGACGCGGTTAACGACGCGTCTCTGGTAACGATTCGACGAAACGCAGACGCGTCGATCGTTTCCTCGACGAAGAATAAAAACGGCGGG